TTAATTTACTAACATGCCTTTTCATCATCTTTTACATATAATCCTTTTTAAATCTGCATTTCTTTGGTTTCTTTAAGTCTTTCAGCTGTTTTTGGTTTTCACTGTTCTTGTTTAATTAGAGGTTTTGTTCATCAGAATTTTGTTTTAAAGTATCCCATTAGGTAAAGTCATATTCTCACCAGAGACCTGGCCATCGGTATAACACTAGAGTCATCTTCCACCCTTTTTGAAGTTCTGTATCTTAAAATCTCAAATGATTTATGGAAGGATTTTATTTCATTTGTATTAATGAGCTATAAAATGGCACTATCACATGACCCTAGGGTTCTCATGGTTTATATGGAAAGTTCATTACCAAATTTATCCCAGATGTATGGAACAGAAAGGCTTACAGAAAAAATTAAATCAATATAGAACACATAGTAAGAAACAAAGGGAAAGAAACAGGAAAGATCAATACACTTAGGATAAGGAGTACCACTATAGAAAGTTCCTGCTACCTGGATCCTAAATGCACAATGTGAATCTTTCTCCATCTATCCTGGTCTCCCTCTTCTCCTTCTCCTTTCTTTTTTGGATCTCCCTCCCTTCCTCTTTCCCTTTTTCTTTCTGTACACTTTGCCTTTATAATGATTCAGTTACAATATTGATTGATAAATGGTGAGACATAAAATTATCAATGTAGATTGTGACAAAATGTCTTTAAAATCAAGCTAAGTAATATAAACCTATATCCTATAGGTACACCCCTGTAAGCACCTGACATTGTGCCTGGCAACCACTGGATATAAAATATATGTTTATTCATTACTTTAGTGAATTTTGTGATCATGAAGGAAAATCTAATTTAAGAAGATAATGCTTTAAATATATTGAATTTTTATAGTTAAAAAAGAATAATAAGATATGAAATATGTGGTAACAATTGTTTGGAGAAAAAATACTTTAGTGTTAAATTAAAAATTGGCTTTACTTTTTAATACCATTCTTTCCACCAGCCCTTCCACAGCAATGATTCTAGTCTAAATCTTTCCTCCTACCACATTCACGAATTTAAGGTACATGGTACAAATTTAAGGACATGATGAAACCATGGCTACTTTCTCACAAATTCCATTTCTAACTACCAATAGAGGCACTTTCCTTTCTCAGAACCTCTCCAGTATTTACTTTGTTTTCTCACTTCTCATCTGGCATTTTTTATATTTTTGATTCATTGTGATTATATCCAGTATTACATTCCATCTCTTAGTTTTCAGTTTCTTAAAAACAAGAACCATATATATTTATATTTGTGTTCACCAGAGGACTTCCCATGGGATTGTCCTTAGAATATGTGATAACCAATAAATTTTTGTTTTAATGCATGCGAAGAACTACTGCATAACCCAATTTTGTGTCATCTTAGAAAATAGCAATTATCTCTTAGTAGTGAGGTCAGCAACTTCTTTCTGTACATATGCATAAATATTTTAGGTTTTATAGAACAAGCAATAAAATCAAGGGTATTAGAAAAGAAAGGAGCTGAGTTGTGCAGTCAATTAGCATATGGTGCTTACATATTACAAGAGAGACATTTTCATATAATTTTTACTTATGATATTAAAAATGTAAAAAATTAAGCAACTTTTATAATGTCTACTAATAAGAAAAGTGGCAATTTTTACAGAAGATAATGTTTAACTTATTATAGTTCCCTACTATCAAAGTTTTCTGTTCATCTATTAATACTGACTTATAATGAAATTTTGAATATTTTACATATTTTACCTTTGAAAATTCTTTTCACGTAGATAGGCACTGCCAAATACTACAATTCAACAGCATATGATTTTAAATGAGCAATGCATATGCATTGCTTGGAAGGAATTTATAAAGTTATATTAGACTTTTCCCTTGATACTTGTCTCTTAACAGTCATTACACTGAAGCTTAATCATTTCCAGTTGAAGATTTTGTGGACACTCCCTAATTGAATGGTCAAATGGATTTTGAAATAGAGAAATTTCCTGCATCTATGAATAAATATGCTTCTGAAACTGGGACCAGAATATTTATCCATTGTAAATCTGTGTAGGAAAGAATATTTCATTTATTTTTAACAGCACAGGAATTCGCTGCTTAACATTATTTGGGATTTGTTGTAAAAAAATGACTTTGCCACAGTATATATTTCACATATAGACATTGTATTGTTTTGTAATTTTTGGATCTAATTTATTAATAAGCATTATAAAAGTTCTAATGAAACCTACCTAATTTCCAAAGCCATTCATTGTTCACTTGTATTGAGAGCAGTTTTTCTCATTCTGAAAAACAATCTCAAAAAAAGTTTAACTCTGCTAAACCTTCAAACTAGTGTGTAATGGGACAAGTCTGACTATTCTGTTTCTACTTCTGACAAAAAATTTCACAGAACTAATGAATTTAAATCTGTAAAAGTCCAGGGAGTTCACTGTTAACACACGAGCCTAGTAACACATGCTAAATTTAAGTGTTTCCCTCACAGTACCTGAATAGTCACAGCTTTAAACAGCTTACCTATTCACGAGTAAGTATGTTTGTACCTTTTTCTAATCCAGTTTCAGTTTTATTGCCTCTCACCAGATTTCACTTCATGTTGTACTAATTTAGTCTTTTCTTAACTCTAAAAATATTCTCACTGGTAGTTATCCCACAAATTATCCACAGAGGTTAATTCTTCCATCACTTCAAACTCAGTTTTGATTCCTCCAGTGAACAACGGAGAATGTATTGATTTCTGTTGATTTACAAGAATCAAAGAAACCCCTCAAAATATTTGTCTTGTTTTTTAATTGATTATTCATGTTGTATCAGTGTCTTCACCATTTCAGTCACATTTTCTTACCAAAAGGCTAACAGTCTTAAGTTTATTTCCTATGTGTTTTAAATAAATCTCCATGAACATGGGACTTCCTGAGTTAAAACATGAACTTACTTTCATTGCAGCCTCATGCTCAATTTTTGTGCAGGAATTCTGCTGTCATAAATTTTTCTGTCACATTCATATCAAGTGGGAATATTGTCTTGGGTGCTTGATCTAACAATGTTGGGGTATACTAAATGTATTTTTTCAATTAATTTTATTGGTGCATTTAGGTATACAATATGATGACACTCATCATTGGGAATTTGTACCTTTACATGATATAGCTTGTTTTTTTTCCCCCATTCCCCTGCCTTCCCTTCAACCTCTCCACCCCACCCTATTTACAAAGACTGTTTTCATTTTATCCTTACCCTTCTTTCCTTTCCCCTACCCCTCCCACTTCCGTTTTTCCCCTTTAGACCTTTTCTTCCTATTTCACATTATCAGTTATTCATTTTGATCCCTATTTATACTTTCAGTTTCTCACACCAGAGAAACTATTTGGTATTTACACATGTGTGTACTATTTATTTCAACATTTTATCCTTACTTCTTTCCTTTCCCCTACCCCTCCCACTTCCGTTTTTCCCCTTTAGACCTTTTCTTCCTATTTCACATTATCAGTTATTCATTTTGATCCCTATTTATACTTTCAGTTTCTCACACCAGAGAAACTATTTGGTATTTACACATGTGTGTACTATTTATTTCACTTAAGAGTATGGCCTCAATGTGCATCCATTGAGCTATAAATGTCTCTGGGACCTCATCTTATTAAAAAGTTTCTGCACTGCAAGAGAAACCACCAACAGAGCTAAGAGACAACCTACAGTATGGGAAAAAAATCTTTACCAGATGTGCCCCAGACAAAGGAGTACTATCTAGAATATAAAAAGAACTTAAAAAGTCAGACCCTCCAAATTTAAAGATCCAATTCAAAAACAGGCATCTGAAATGAACAGATGTTTCTCAGACAAATAAGTAAAAGCAACAAATAGGAAAAAATGTTCAACATCACTGGTCATTCAGCGATGCAGATGAAATACTAAATGTATTTTAAGAACAGATATAGTGTCACTGTATAGTGAACACAAGGCTTTGTCACTTGATAAAGTGATCCACATTCCATTGTGTCTTAAAAATATCATTCAAAGTTAATTATCTTTTTTTGACATAACAGGTGTGTACTTGTAATAAAACCAAAGGTCAAAGAAAACAGTATTTTTCCACTTGAAACCCTCTCAAATTATAACTGCTTCACTACAGTTTCTTTTGTACCAAGCAGCAGTGCAAAGCAGTGACAGTGCCACATAAATTCTCTACTATAACTGTTTAGCCCTATTATGGTGCAAAATCAACCAAAGATAGTAAATACATCAATAATCATGGCTATTTTAATAAAACTTTATTTTATTAACTTAATTTTGCACAATTTTCACATTTCTTTAAGTATTGTACTTCTTTTGATTTTTCTCATTTAAAAATGTAAAAAACTATCCTTATGTTATGAGCTATACATATGGATGACTGGATTTGCCTTGGAAACAAGTTTGCCAGCCTTCCTTCAGGATTTGGTTTTAAGGATATACTGTCTGCTTGCTTAACTTTATTCCCAAACTATTTTTAGTAAATTTTATGTAATTATGTGTGGTTGTAGAATAGAATGCTTTTTGAGACATTACTCTGAGATATTATTCATTTTCTAGAGTTGTCACGTACACCAAAGTATACTAAAAAAAAATGTTAGACTAAAACAAAACTCACTTCACACAGACTGTATACTCCGAAGGTACTGGCAGACTTTGTACTCAGTGTTTTCATTTTTAAAACCCAAGATTAAGCCAGGGGTTTACTTCAGTAGTGCTACTGCCTGCATTACAAGTTCAAGGATCTAAGTTCACACCTGGTACCAAAAAAAAAAAAAAGATCATTATATTAACTGTTATTAGAGATCTCAAGAGAATGATGGGTGTTCCCAAAACATTTTTTGTCTTACTCACTTGGAGAACTGCTAGGCAGTACGTCAATAGAACATTTCCTACATTTATAGAGCCTTTAGATTAATGTTCTAGAAACTTCCCAGTTTTTATTTCTTATCTCTGTTATTTAGGGCATCAGAGGCAGCCCAGGAAGAACAGGACTTGTGGGAACTCCAGGTCCTCGAGGAGCAAAGGGCTCATCAGGCCTTCCAGGAAGCCCTGGAGCTCTAGGCCCAAAGGTACTTCAATGTTTTCTTCCGGTGGTTGAGCAATACTGGCTATCTGTACTGGTGCTGTGTATAGTGGCTAGATAAAAGGATTGTAAGATTAATAGCTTTTAATAAAATTTGGCTAAAACCAAAAATACATTAGGGAAAAAGATAAGTGTGTGACCTGTATATATCCACTTCCTGTGACAGTCAAAATGCATGTGTATAACCCATAATGCATTATTAACTCAGAGATAGCTATGCTTTAAAACATGCTTCGATGGGAGTGGAGCTCAGTGGTAGAGCATTTGCCTACAATGTAGAAGGCCCTAGGTTTGATTCCCTTAAATGACCATACATGTGTACCACACACACACACACACACACAACCACACATACACAAGCTGTCTGTGAACATTTGGGCTATTCTTTCTTTATCATCTACCTTCTCCAAAACAGAGAAACTGTATTTAGTATACTTCCTGTTCCTCCAGCAACCTAACCAATTAATAAATCTTGTAATAGTGTAGATTATTTTTCACAGTGAAAGTGACAGTACTTAAGTCTTACATCAGACAAAATCTCTCTTAAAAATGCAGGATTTAGAGATTAGTGTCTAAAGCAATCTCTTAAATACCTAGTATTAAGACAGTGGCACACTTACATTATTACCTCAACTTGATTTTCATTGCTGTAACTGTAAAAAATTTTCACATTTTTAGCCCATAGATGTAAACTGAAAATAGTGACCCCGTTGCTTTCTATTTACAATTTCAGCCTTTTGATAATGTTTATTCCATGAATTTTCCTTTTCACTAAAATTCAAGGTAGCATAGCAATGCTAAAATTAGGAAAACAAATAAGAAATATTCCTACCTTGCATATGTGTCAGCACACAGGATCTATATTTATAAAGCCCAGACATAATGGGTTTGCCTCAAGACAAAGAAGGATGATTTGCTGAAATTAAAGATTTTAAAAGGAAAACCTAAGTCTGTATTCCATACAAGAAACACATCTACTCCATAAATAAACTTGTAGGCTAAAAATCAAAGGAAGAAAAATGATATTTCACATTACAGATGCAGAAAGGCAAGCAGGAATAGCTATTTTCAAAGTGGACTTCAAGCAAAACTGATTGGAAGAGACAAAAATCACTGCATACTGGCAAAGAGAATGATTCAACAGGAAAAGGTTAACAATGTTAAATATACAACTTATCCACAGTTTTGGAAAAGATAGCCATGTTTGTGTGGGAAAGAAGGTCATGTTTGTCACCCAATGTAGAGTTTGCAAACAAAAACAAAATTCTGCAAATCACACGTTAGCAAACAAAAGCATTCATGAACCACTGTATATATATATATCAAATGCTGACACTCCTAACTTCATAGAACAAATACTACTGGACATAAAAGATCATACAAATATCAACAATCATAGTGGGGGACTTTAATATTCCCCAGTATTACAAACAGACAGGTCAACTACAAAAAAATCAACAAAGAAATATCTGAGTTGAACCACACACTCAATTAAATGAACTTAATAGAGATATCTATAGAATGTTCACCCTACAATAGAAAACACATTTCTCTCAGCAGCACACAGAAGACATGAAGCCATGCTTAAATAAATACAACAGCATCAAAATAATCTCATACATACATAAATCATAGTGAAATGAAACTAGAAATCAATGGAAAAAGAAAGCACAGAATTTATACAAACACATGAATATTAAATAATACACTCTTGAATAATCAAAGGATAAAAGAAGAAATTAAAATTTTCTTAGAATTAAGCAATAATGGCAATGCAACATACCAGAACCTATGAGACACAATAAAGCAGTCCTAAGAGGGATATTTATAGCAGTGAATGCCCAGATTAGAAAAACAGAGAAATCTCAAACATATAACCTAATGATGCTCTAGAAAAATAATAACAATCCAAATCTTAAACAGGTACAAGAAAGGGAATTATAAATGTAGGAGTAGAAATTAAGGAAATTGAGACAAAAAAATACTACAAATAATCAATGAATCAGTTAGTTTTTGAAAGCAGAAGCAGAGTACACAAACCCTTAGCCAACTTACCAAAAGAAGAAAAAGACCCATATCCATGCAATTAGAAATGAAAAAGGTGAAATCACAATGTATACTGCTGAAATATAGAGGATTATAAATAGTTTGAAAACATGTATTCCAAAAAATTGGAGAATCTAGAAGAAATGGAAAGACTTCTAGACACATATAAATTACCAAAACTGAACCTAGCAGATCTAAAATCCTAAACAGTCTGATAACAGGCAATGACTATGAGACAGTAAAAAAAAATGATCAACTAGCCCATGACCCAATGGATTCACAGCTGAATTTTATAACTTCAGGGAAGGATTAGTGCCAATATTCCTCAACCTCCTTCATGAAATCAAAAGAGAAAGAATACCACCAAACTCTTTTCTTGAAGCATTACGCTGATACCAAAACAGACAAGGACTTAACAAAAAAGAAAACTAGAGACAAATTTCCTCATCTGTCATACTTGGGAGTGATGCAACCAGAAGTCATTGTGAAAAGGGATTGGTTGTTTAAAAATGAGCTATTCTTGGTATCAAAAGTCACATGACAATTATATTTCAGGGTCTCTGGAGTCACCCTTACCACATTGACTAAGAAATGGTCCTAAGTGATAGTAACCAGGACAGAGTGGACTAGTTGCAGATCCCCTGAGAATTTTAAGCATTAGTATGCTCAAGTTGTTAAATACACAGTAGTTCCACCCTCTGTGGTGAAAAGCCAGATCAGCCATGTGGTTTTCTTAGGGGGCTGAGCCTGAAAGTGCTAATATTAATTCCAGCAAATTGGTTGGCCGCCTCACTGCCTACTTCCAGTACAGAGTCCAGTGATCTCATTGCTTTTTTCATCTGCCCATATGATCAGGGATATATGTATCAGCTTAGACACTTGTCACATCTTGCAGTGTACAGACAGGGGGCCACTAGAATAATGGAGGCACCTCATAAGCCCACAAGCCATCAAGCTAGTCAGAGAAAGCAGTGATTTGGGATACACAGAAGGCCACAAGCACTAAGAGCCACTGGAAACCTAGGGCAGACACCATGTCATTGTCTGACCACACCCAATAGGAAAGATGGGGCAGGATTCATCATTCACACAGCAAAAAAGTTGGCATGAAAACAAAATAGGCCTGTGACTCACAACCCATGATCCATATCTGGCAGATTCCAATAATGTAGGTCCTTGAAAGAAACCAACTACACAAACACAGAGAGAAATTTTTTTGATTCATTTCTATTTTTGTTTTGGGGGTATGGTTTCTTCTCTTTTTTATCTTTTGCTTTTCTTTCTTTCTTTCTTATTTTCTTTTCTTTTCCTGTTTGTCCTTTTCTTGTTCTGTTAACTTTCTTTGGTCTCTAATCAGATTTTTTTATCTCACTTTTCTGTCTTCACCTTCCTTTTCTGTTTTTTAAATTTTATTTCTTTAATTTTCCCCTTCCATTTTATTATTATTAAGCTTTATTTTAGCTATTTAGTTGATTCTATGCTATTATTGCTGGATTCTTTTCTATTGTAAATGGTGATATAGTTGCTTTTAGTAATACTTTATATCAATATTTGACTTGTGTTTATGTGTAAATTATTACTGCAAATCTTTTTTGTTAAAAATAGTATAGTTGCTCCTATAATTAGTTCTTACAGCATGTCAATAACTGATCAGCATTGTACTCTATCATTATTGATGATTTCTATTATTAATGGCTGCATAGTTTTTGCTTTTCACTGATTTATTATATGCCAGTATCTAGTATGTCTTCTTGTCATCGACATTACAGTAGTTCATTTTCTTGTCTATGAGTAGTGCTGGGGATCAAGCCCTCAGAAGAGGGGTATAAACACCAAACATAATCAAACCAAGGTCATACCACATGGTGACAGAATATAGCTAAAGAAATTTCCAAAATAGTGATAGAGTTTCTCTACCCTACTTGCTCTTCAACCTACAGCACAAAAAATAAAAGAAACATGAGAAAATAAGGCAACAAAATGCCCATTGAAACTCTTAACTCTCCAAAAGCTGATCTCATAGATAATGAAGTAGAAGCTACAAAAAACTAAAAATAATGTTCAAAATGTTCAAAGAGATAAAAGAAGAAACATATAAGCAAATGCATAAGATGTTTATCAAAGGGCCAAGGATTTGGCTCAGTGGTTCCACCACCTGCCTCACAAGTGCAAGGGCCTGAGTTCAATCTCCAGTACCAAAAAAAAAAAAAGATGTTTATCAAGCTCAAAGAGTATTTGCTTAAAGAGATAAAATATTCTACCAATAAAATGTTTGACAGGCTTAAAGAAAGAAATGATAAATTAATTGAGTTAAGCAAGATAATACAAGACATGAATGACCACTTCAGAAAATAATTAGAAAGTATGAAAAAAAAAGCTAGGATATGCAATATGAAAAATTCAATGGAAAGCATGGTAGTAGACTTGACCAGTGTGAAAACAGAGTGAAATAGAAGACAAGGTGAATGTAGTAGATCATAAATTTAATAAACCCATAGGGCTGGGGATTTAGCTCAATGGTTCTGCCACCTGCCTCACAAGTACAAGGTCCTGAGTTCAATCCCCAGTACAAAAAAAAAAACAAAAAACAAAAAACAAAAAAAATGACAAGATGCCAAGCAAGCTGGATCCAGCAGTTGTTACATGACTCAAAAAATTAAAAAGAAAAAACCCTCAGAATTATACAAATAAAAGAAAAAATAAAAGTCAACACAAAAGCTATAAAAATTTTATTCATTGAAATCATAACAGAAAATTTTTCAAATCTGGGGAAAGAACTTGACAAGTACAAGAGGTATATAGAATTTCAAATAACCATATCCAGAAAAGAACCTCTCCACAACACACCATAGTCAAAATCTCAGAAACTAAAAAAAAAAGGAGTGCATAGTAAAAGCTGTTAGAGAAAAACAGCAAGTAACCTATGAAGGTAAGCCCATCAAAATAATTGTCAGTTTTTCAGCACAAATCTTAAAGGGCAGAAAAGCTTGGAGTGAAGTTTTCCAATTTGAAAAGAAAATGACTATTAACCCAAGAATTAGCCTTCAAAATTGATGGAGAAGTAGGCTTTCCACTACAAAGAAATCCTTAAAAAAAAATAATAATAATAATACATGGCTATGTTTCTACAAACATTGCAGAAAATATTTAAAGGAACCCTTGACAGAGGAAGGGAAGCCACCAGCACTGAAAAGCCCAAAGGAAAGTATACATCTAACTGGGAGAGTAAACAAAAGGAAAATAATAAAGGAATTAACACTGGAAAAATAGTACAATCACAGGTTTCAATAAATGCTTTACAGTAATAACTCCCAATGTCAGTGCTCTCAATTCTCCAATCAAAAGACACAGACAGATTAGATTTTTTTAAAAAAATACAACCATATATTACCTACAGGAGACAAATTCCTTCCAAAAGGAAATACATAGACTGAAAGTGAACGGAAAGAAAGTGATACTCTATTCAACCAAAGCCCAATAGCAACTCAAAGTAGCTATTTAATTTTCAGACACAGCAGGCATCAAGCCAAAACTGATCAGAAGAAACAAAGTTAGACATTACCTACTGGTAAAAGGAATAATTCAATGGGAAGAGATAAAAATGATAAATACCTATGCACCAAATGTCAGTGCACCCAAATTCATAAAAGAAACTATTGGACTCAAAAGGACAGATGGACCCCAATACAATCAGAGTGGAGACTTCATTACCCCACTCTCACAGTCAGACAGGTCATCCAGATGTACATTAAAAATTCAGAGTTAAATCACACCATTTAACAAATGGACGCCAGGGATTTAGCTCAGCGGTTCGGTGGCCTGCCTCACAAGTGCAAGGACAAGAGTTCAATCCCCAGTACCAAAAAAAAAAAAAAAAAAAAAAAAATCACAGCTGTCTACAGAGTGTTTCATTCAACACTAACAACAGAATACACATTCTTCTCAACAGCACACAAAACTTTTTCTAAAATAAACCATAATGTATGCTTAAATAAAAATTAAAAAATTGAAATAATCCCCTAGATACTACTAAGTCACAATAGAATGAAGTTAGAAATTAACAGCAAAAGATGCCACAGAAACTATGCAAACACCTGTAAATTAAATAATTAAAAGTTCCTAGTATCAAATGATAATGGAAGCACAATGAAAACGTTCAGAAAAGGAAAATTATAGCTGTAAATCCAAACATAAAAAGAATATAGTGATCCCAGATAAATAACCTAATGATATATCTCAAGATCCTAGAGAGACAAGAACAATCAAAATCTGAAAGTAATAGTGGAAAGAAATTATAAAGATTAGGATAGAAATTAATGAAATCTACAAAAAAAGAAATTAATGAATTTAGATACAAAAGATCAATGAATAAAAAGAGCTGATTCTTTGAAAAGGTCTTGGGGATGGAGGAGACAAAAGAGAGAAGGAAAAAGGAAAGCAAAAAGAATCCAGATGATTCTTTGTGCTAGTTCACATGCAACTGAAGTTTTGTTCACGAAATCTTTTCCTATACCAATGTCTTCAAGAGCTTAATGGAAAAAAAAATCAAGATGAGGTATGTATATATAATGATTCCTATATGATGAATTTATTTACCATGTATCACAAATATACAGTAATAAAAAATGGAGAAATAGTAAATAAACTTATGAAAAAAATAAAAGGAACATACATCATGGCCAATTTGGTTTTATCCCAGAGATGCAACATACATAAATTTATAAACGTTATGTATCACCTAGACAAAAGTAAGGGTAAAATCATATAATCATCTCAACAGATGCATAAAGAGCCTCTGACAAAATCTAATACCCATTTCATGATCAAAAATTTGTGCAGAAGGACCTTATTTTAAAATGATAAACACCATTTATAAAAAACCCACTGCCAACATTATACTAAATGGAGAAAAACTGAAAGCATTTCCACTAAAACCAGGAACAAGATATTCACACTACTTTTGTTCACTACAGTACTCAAATACCTTAGCCAGAGATACTAGAAAAGAGAAATAAATAAAAAGAATTCAAAGAGGAAAGGAAGATGTCAAAATATCCTTATTTGCTAATGACACGATCCTTTCCAAAGAGGTTCCAAAAAGACTCTTAAAAGTAATAAGCAAATTTATTAAAGCAGAAGCACACAAAATAAACACAAAAATCAGTACCATTCTTATACAACAAGAGTAAATCCACTAAGAAAGAAATCAGGAAAACAATCTCATTCACAATGGCTTCAAAAAAAATTAAGTTCCCGGGAATTAACCTAACCAAAGAAATGAAAGGCCTCTATTTTGAAAACCATATTGCTCTGAAAAAAGAGATTAAAGAGGGCATTATAAAATGGAAAGATATCCCCTGTTCTTAGATAGACAACATTGTCAAAAATGGCTACATTATCAAAAATGATAAACAGATTTGATGCAGTCCCCATCAAAATACCATCTAGATAAAATAACTGTGAAATATTTATGGAAGCAGAAGAGACCCACAATAGCCAAAACAATCCTAAGCACCAAGAGCAAGGCAGGAAACATTACAATCTCAGCTTTCAGACTATACAACAAAGCTACAATAGGAAGAACAATATGGTCCTAGCACAAAGACATATTAACCAACAAGATAAAGGATACCAAAATAACCCCACTCAACTTCAGCCATCTGATTTTTGACAAGGGTCAATAATACACACTGAAGAAAAGAAAGCCTCTTTAACAAATGGAGCTGAAGAAACTTGCTGTACACATACAGGAGAACCAATTTTGATTAATATTACTCATCCTGTACTAAAATCAAATCAAAATGAATCAAAGATCTACACACAAAAACAGAAGCATTGAATCACCCAGAAGAAAAAAAAAGTGGTAAAACTCTTGAAAATACAAGCATAGGCAAAGACCTCTTACACAGAACCTCAAGTGAACAAGAAATAATACTGAAAATCAACAAATGGCATTACACTAAATTAAAAAGCTTCTGCACAGCAAGAGAAATAACCAACAGGATAAAGAGATTACCTTACCTACAGAATGGCGAAAAAAATCACCAGCTTATCCTCAGACAGAGGACTAATATCTAAAATGTATAAAGAATTCAAAAATATTAGACCACCTAAAATAAAAGGCCCAATAAAAAAATGGAAAACTGAAATGAATAGACACTTCACATAAGAAATACAAATGTCCAATAAATACATAAACACTATTCAGCATATTTGGTAAATCAAAACAACACTAAAATTTCACCTTATTCCAGTAAGAACAGCCATTATCCAGGACTCAGAAAATAGCAAATGCTGGTGAAGTTGTGGGGGAAAAGTGAACCCCTTATGTATTGCTGGCAGGAATATATAGTAAATATATATAATATATATAATATATAGTAAACTACTATAACAACTTTGGAAACCAGTCAGGGGGTTTCTCAAAAAACTAAAAGTAGAAATTCCATTTGACCCAGCTATACCTCTCCAGGGTATCTTCCTGAAATAGCTAGTCATGATACTACAGCAATGCAAGCATACCCATGTTTCTAGCAGCACAACTCACAATAGCTAAATAGCAGACTATGTGCCCATCAATGAATGAATGTATAAGAAAATATCATATATAGAGAGAGATTTATAGATATATAGAGAGAAAGGAGTTCTACTCAGCCATTAAGAAGGATAAATTTGAGTCATTTGTAAGAAAATGGATAGATCTAAACATCATAATGCTAACTGAAATAACTCAGTCACAAAAGGTTAAATATTGCAGTTTCTCACAAAGCCAGAATATAAATAATTTAAAGAGCAAAATAAAGAGCCATGTTAGGAAACAGGGAGGTGTACTCTGCATAGCTGGGAAACGGGGATCTGGGAAAAGAAGGAGAGATAAATCAGAAGGAAGAGAAGGGAATAAAAATAATCAAATACATATGGCAAACACCCAAGGTAAATGTAATTAGTATGTATTATAAACATGTTCTAATAAAATGTAAGCCAGTATGTTTATAAGCTCTGAGGTTGAGATCACTATTCTTTTTTCTTTTTCTTTTTCTTTTTTTTTTTTTTTTGTGTGTGTGTGTGTTGATAGGGTGAACAAGGACTACCTGGTCAACCTGGAATTCAAGGTAAAAGAGGTCACCAAGGAGCACAAGGTGATCAAGGACCACATGGAGAGCCTGGTCTGAAAGGGCTGCCTGTATGTTCCAACTCAGAAATTCACCAAGCTATTTACAGAACAGGTCACCAGGGTACAGCAGTGATCCTCATATCTGTTTCCATTGCAGGGAGAACACGGTGATCGAGGTTTGACAGGTTTCCAAGGATTTCCAGGCCCCAAAGTATGTTTATATGTTTTTTGCTACTCACGTGGCTATGTAGGAAAAAAAAAGATGTTGAAATACTAATACTCTCCAGTTTGAAGTTTTCTTTTTTTTTTAAACTGTAAAATGTCAATTGGCAAAATTGTATATTTAATTTTTGAAAGTTATTTAAAAACACATAATTATGCATTTTCTAGTAATTATATTGTGTGATTTTCTCTTGTTTCCATTTTAAGAGCAATTTTTGAAGAGCTGGTTATTCATAGATTGGTATGAGATTATTTTGTTTATAAAACATTCATATTCTGCTAATATTTTTTACTTTTTGTTTCTTACTCTATGTCTAGGGGCCTGAAGGGAATGCTGGTTTTGTTGGAATATCAGGTCCTAAAGGTCCTATTGGGCAAAGAGTAAGTGTAAAGTCTTCTGCCTACTTAGAAATTATGCTTCGTTGCTTATTGTAGGACTTACAAATGCTAAAATTAGTATATTCCAAATTAATAATTTAATAAAATTACTTTTGAAATAGAAACTCAGAAGAGTTTAACCTTTGCAGTTCATAAATTAGGTTGACCAAAATATCCTACAGACCACCCATAGTTCCCAGTTCTTACTTTAAAAAAAATTACTGTGAAGACTGGACAATCTGTTAACTCACATCAGGAGCAAAAACATACAGAAGTTTCATTTTATAAGCATTAACATAACCAGAGACCACCTCCATGTACCACCTGAGGAGGCCTGCCTGTAACCACACTTTGAAAAATATTTCCTGATAGTTATGTATTTTCCCAATTAGGGGGCAGTTATCCCAAGATAGTGGTGAGAGTTGTCTAAAGAGTTTCAAAACTCGAGGTCTGAAGAACTCAACAGTTCATTAACTATATTTGCATACTATAGGAATATAAATAAGCTATCAAAAGTTACTGATTATTTTGCTTTGTTTTTGTTTTGTCAGTCTCCTAGTTGATCTATGATATATAAAACTGAAATTTAAAAAAAGGTTTTAAAAATTGGTTTGGTTGTAGTAGTAGTATCACTATGGCTAACAGAAGATTCCAGAGTGAGTGCGGAGAGAACAGAAAGAAGACAGGATGGAGTTTAGTTTCTGGAGAAAGTAGTCTTGAAGAGCTTTATAGCTGAAAACTATTATCTTTTTTTTTTTTTTTTTTTTTTTTTTTTTTTTGGTACTGGGGATTGAACTCGGGTCCTTGCACTTGCAAGGCAGGCCACCGAACCACTGAGCTAAATCCCCAGCCCTGAAAACTATTATCTTGTACAAAATGCTATAAAGTTATATTTTAGAAATTCTACACTCCTTCCCTTTTAAAATATTTTCAGTAATACAAAGAGCAATATTATTTGTTTTAAAATGCCTCCTAGTATTGCTTCTGGTGTAAATTTATTATTTTCAGGATTTCTGAAGAACCAAGGAAACTTGGTGCTTTTACATACAGTCCAATTCTTGATTGCTTGCAAGTAGTTTATATATGAATAGGCTACTCTATAATAAATATTGCTCTATACTCTTATTTATATTAAATTCCTCCACTAATTACAGCCTTTCATTCTAGTTGATTATCAATTAATTCAATCTTTCCTTGATTTTGTCAAAGTAAAAGTGGCTGCTTGTCAAGCATGTGTTCTATGCAGGGTGTCATGAAATGCTGATTCTCTGTGGGCCACAGTCTGAGTCCATGTTGCTTTGCAGGTCTAGAAATTATCATCTCATTAATAATAAAGTTTAGATAACTAGCTCACAACTACTAAGATATAAACACAGATAGGTCATTAGAGGAGACAGGTGAAAAGTCTTGGTATGTTAATATTTAGTAGATTCCTATTGTGTACCAGGTACTAATGTTCAGTTTTTGTTCCTCATTTCATTGAATTCTCATAAAAATTATATGAAAGATACTATTATTCCCATTTTGCAGATGTGGAAGCTGAGTCTCAGAAAGATAATTTGTTCGATACTATGTTTGGCTAGTAAAATAGAGGAATCAGAAGTTGAATGTCTATCTGATTGATTAAATCAGGTTTTAGGGTTGCTTGCAAACTACACAGTTGGAACAAATAATGAATACTAAGTGAGCTAGTGCCTAGTTCCTGTCCCAAAATCAATAAATAGCTATTAAATAAAATTAATTGAACTAAAAAGTCTGGATTGCCCATTATTTTAAAGATAGCTGGTAACCACAATTAATTATGAATTAAATTCATAGCACCACATCTTTTGAGTACATTTAGGCAAATTTAGACAGTTGTTCACTCTTTTGATTTTTTTTTTTTTGGTACTGGGGATCAAACTCAGGACCTTGTGCTTGCCAGGCAGGTGTGGTACCAGTGAGCTACATCCCTGGCCCTTAATCTACTTTTTCTACAGGCCTGGTATACCTCTCTATTCTTTTAACAGATCATTATTTCAGAGAGTCACATTAATTTATTTTATTAGATTAAAGCTTTCTTGAGTTGTTTAGTAATAAAAAGTTAAAGAAACATTTGATTAGGTTAAGAAAACAAGTCTCTTGATTTGACTGGATTTTTTCAAATTCAGATATCGTATGTATAAATTATTACAGTCGATTTCTGTGTTTAAACGTGATTTCTTTAGATTTAGACTATCAGGTGATTTCTGTCATTCTAGACCAAGTTAGTATTAAAGCTACCAGTGGATAGATCATATGACATTATATTTCAAATTATCTATTCCTACAGCATCTGTATAGAAATTTTTTCAAAAATTTATCACTCTTTTATTTTAGAGAAAATGCTTCATTGGATTTGTCACCACATAAACACTGTAATTGTGATTGATATTTGTTATAAATTTTACATATATAAAACATTGTATATATATATATGTATATATTTGTATCTTGAAGGAAACTGCAATAATATACACAGTTGTGTCACATATTGTGAATCAAGATAACTATGGTTTATGCTAATATTGTAAGATTTTATATAAAACTGTAACTTTTTGGATGTGGCTACTTCACCAATGTAAGAAAATTCTCTAGAGTTTTTCTGGATTATTCTCAGAATGAGCCTGACTATCTTTCTTTAACCCCAACAGGGAAACACTGGCCCTCTTGGCAGAGAAGGTATAATAGGCCCAACAGGTAGAACTGTAAGTTTGTTAAAATATGGGTCTTTTTTCTTTTTATATATTTTTCTCCTTATTCCTGTTTTTAGAACAATCCACCAAGAATCAGCTCACATATTAAGAAGCAAAGGACAAAAATAAATGCATATTTTTCTTCTGGAAGGTCATTCCTGAGAACATAGGGATCATATATGTAATGAAGGTGTGAAGAATAAAGGAGCTGAGAAAATAGAAGTTGGAGAGAGGGGATCACCATAAGCATAGAGATGATCACCAAAGCAATAAACTGGGATCAATTTTCAAAATAAAAAAAAAATCATAGTAGAGGAAGGGCAGGCCACCAAGATTTGAGTATTTTACCACTGTCTATGGCCATACTACTCTGAATGCACCCAACCTCACCTAGAAGTACCCACTACAAGGGAAAAGTAATAGTTTGTCAGAATAAAAGGAAAGCCAAGTGCAAGGTTATACAGACAAGATTTCAAGAAAAGACTGGTCAGTGGTGATCTTTAAGAGACTAAGTTGTAATACAAGATGAAGTACAGATTACAATAAGAAATAGATGAAAATATTTAATAACTTTTTCTCAAATTCTTTTTTTATTCTCATGAGTTTGGTTTTATTTTGACCCTTTCCCTCTAACATTTTTCAAATTGTCACAGCAAACTTCTGGAATAAATATTATTTCCATTTAATAGATGAAGAAGCAGATGAGATTTATACAGGTTCACCTAGTTATTCGAGGTAAAAGAGACAGTGAATTCCACAACTGATGTTTTTTACTTCAAGACCAGAGCTATTTCCACCCTATTCAAGCTATTTCTGGAAAGGAAATTGAGGCAATATATTGCCAGTGTCTTAAAAAATTTGATGTATAAAACAAGTAAGACAATGGCTGAGAAGGTGGTCATGGGAAAAATTTTGTAATCCTATAATAGTATAAACATGAAAAGGAACACACTAGAAAGGGTGAAATTGAGACTTAGAGAAATTCAGTTCCTTCAGGGAATTAATGTTTTGAATCAATTTTATATAAACACAGATGAAAAATTAAAATTGAATGTTTCAAGAATTAAGCATAACTATTATCTTTGATAAATTTGAAGAATTCACCACCAAAATTACTAGGTTTTTCATTAAAAGGAGAAAATGTGTAATACAGCATTCTCTAGACTTTCAATTTTTGCCACTCAGAGCTATATAAGATTGTAAGTGGGAGAGTTCTCATATTTCAGTGGGTGGTTCCCCAGCAAGCTAAAGAGCACATATTGTTCTGATTATGGAAGGATTGTTCTCTTTTGTCAAAAATGTGAAATATTAATTGGTCAAGGAAAATATGATAAAGAAATGTCTCAATTAAAATATCTCACTGTTTTGTTTACAGATAGTTCTTAAAGAGCCTTATAATATTCAGCATACACATCAAATTTTTTCCATTCTAAGATGAAAAGTTCATTATGAAAAAATAAGCATTTGAGAATGGCAAAAACATTGTGAAAAAATAATCGTGGAGCAAGGATTTTACTTTTCCAAAGAAGAAAACAGTAGTATTACAAAGTCATTGTAAATGAAATTATACATATAACAAAATTGTATAATAGTAAAAATAATAATTAGATCATTATAATAAACTAGAGCTCAGAATTAGAACTAACATATAGAAATTTAATTATAATGAAAATGGTAAGTCAGGATGATTTGGCTGCATGTAATAGGAAACCTGATTCATATGAGCTTTAACAAAAAGGAAAATTATGTTCCATTATAGGAAGTAAGAGCTTCAGATTTAATTTAGTGACTCCACTATGTTGTCCAAGACCAGATTCTTTTCAGATCTCTACCCTTCTATCCTGAATGCTAGCTTCATATTTAAGCAAAAGGACTTATAGCAGTGATGGTGAACCTTTTATAGCTTTCAGTGATAACAAACAGCTGGATGCAGCATACATTCCATAGGTTCAACACCACTGAGACAATACAGTTTCTTGGGAATCACATTCAGATGTTGCATATTCCTAGTATCTAACAGACAAGCATTCAACCATGTGGCCTCTTCTACACCAGTGATAAGAAAGGGAGATAGAATTACTTTGAGTACCATTACTGCTATAAGATATTAGAACCTGGTTTCACCAATATTTTGTAAATCCTAGATTAACTTTTAAAAACTTAAATGTAAAAAATTGAAATAAGATTCTTGGAAAAAATCTAGAAAATTAAAATATAGCTTTAATTCAAAGAATTCAAAAGTCCATATATAAGAAATCTGATCATTGTGAAAAATATACATTTTAAAAGTTTTACATTTTGTGTGGAATAATATTCCTAAATAACATCCAAAAAATAATACAGAATGGGAAAATATTTGCAAAACATGCAATATGTAATGGGTTCTTACCAGGATCTCTTATAAATTGATATGAAAAAGAAAAATAATAGAAGAATGAAGAACAAATCCAAAAAGCCAAGTATTATTTTAAAATATACACACCTAATTTTAAGTCAGACAAATGCAAATTAAAGTAATTATATCTAACTAAAGGAAATTACATCTAACTTCCCTTGTAGAAATGTGAATTATAGCTGATATAGAAAGATATTTGTTCAAATATAGGTACATATACACTTTAACCAGGCAATTTCTCTGTGGGGAATTCATCCCACAGATATAAAATCACCCAATACACTTAGAGAATTTTACAAAGATTTTTTTTTCATAACGCCCTATTGTTGAAATCATGTGAACACTCCTCTGCAAAGGAATGCTTAAATAATGTTCTAATCACCTCATGAAATATTATGCAATTATTAAAAAGAATTTTGTATATTTTGCTTGGCTGAATTTCAGTTATTTCAAGATACATTCTAAGCAGAAAAAGCATGATATATAGAACTTTATATAATTATAATTATGTAGCGGAATGTGAATTGGCATGAAAACCATTGGAATTATAAAGGTATAAATTCAAGTTACATAAAAGATAAATAGCATCATTTTTACAAAAAAAATAATTTCCATAACAATGGAGATAAAAAATGTTAACAAGAGTTTACAAAGTAGTTGGTTCACTCAAGAACAGCAGACACTTTTCAAAGTGCATGTGGAACATTCACCAAAATAGATGATATTTTAGGCAGTAAAACAAATTTTACTAAACTTAAAAGAACTGACATCAAGGTATATTCTCTGGCCAAAATGGAATTAAACTAAAAATCAAAAACAGATAACAAGAAAATCTCCAAAAACCTTAAAATTAAATCACACATTTCTGAATAATCCCAGGATCAAAGAAGTCTCAAGGAAAGTTAGAAGAGACTTTGAACTGAGTGAAAACATATACAACCTCAAAATATGCTCTATGCAGCTCAGAAAGAAGAAGTGAAAGAGAAGATGGAAGAAAAGGAGGAAACTAGCTTAGAAGCAGGATTTTCAAAGGCTGAGGAAACAAATACTAAAATTACCTTTAATTTAGAACTTCTTTTCTAAATCATTCTGTGTATGATTGTCAGATCCACTGTTCTGATGTGAATGAAGGATTATCTTGAAAATCCCAAACTCACTTTAAGGTGGAGTTAGAGATAGTAAAATAGACAGCATCATGAATCAATAGGTTATTCTTGGTTTGCTTTCCTTTATTCCGGAAAAGAAAATTAAAATATATATAAAATTAACAAGTTTCACTAGAGAGAAAAGTAAAATTGCAGTGTCATGTTTTAGTGTACAACCTCAACTACATTTGATACATAACTATCAATTATACTGAAGTAGCATTGTTTTTACCCCCTTGCAGGGTCCCAGAGGCGAAAAAGGCTTTAGAGGAGAACCTGTAAGTTAAACTACATTGTGACCATAGTAACCCTTGCACTAGGGTATAAGCTAGGGGGAATCGAGGATCTTGTTAGAATTATTCATTATTATGTCTTTGATACTTTGATATAAAAATAAAATTATATTTTTCAAGAAGAATTAACCTATGTGGTATATTGCACTGAAATCTGATAAACCTTAAAACATTTAAGGGCTTGCCATTCTTCCCAAATCACTGTGTGAAAATGGTATTTGCTTTGTCAGGCATCAGGAGAGGAGATGGACATCTTCACTGGTAACAGAATAAGAGCTCTGCCAACTGGCTTTAGGTACATACCCACTTTATCCAGTGAGAACTGACCAGGGCTGCAATGCAGAAGTGAATTATTAGTTGTGTGTTTCAGGTGATTAGAAACAATAGTAAAGGGCTGAGTCAATGGTATTTTTAGGACCTAAATGGCTTCATACTGGCACTATTTCCCATATTTTCAGAGTGTCAGGGCCAGGGATTTAGCTCAGTGGTTCTGCCACCTGCCACGCAAGCGCAAGGCCCATGTTCCATCCCTGGTACAAAAACAAACAAACAAAAAAAAGGATGTCAATTCTTCCAAGTTAAAGGAGATACCTTCATTCCCCCATCAGAGATTGCACTGAGCTTTTTTTTTTTTAGTAAAAATTGTATTGTATATATTATGGTATAAAACATAAAGTTAAAGGACACATACAGTAAAAAGGGTAACATAGAGAAGAAAATTAACATATACATCATCTCACATAATTGCCCTTTTTGTTGTTTTTGTGATAAAAGCAGCCAGTATTTTACATAACAGGAATCCTCCTGAAATTATTGAAGCAGCAGCCATAAGCAGAAGACAGGCATGGAGTGAATTGGAGAACATTGCAAGTATACAGTCTATAAGAACAAACTTAAAGATAGCAGTAAAATCTTGATTAAAAGGTAATGAGATTACTTAGTGAGATTTTTTTTCCTTCTCATAATAGTTGCTTGGGACTCACAATACATAATATACTGGTATATTAAAGAGCTGAAAAGGGGTAATTACAGTGATACTATGCCTCAGTTCACGAACCCAATTCTTACCATGATTCTGGTGGTAAACTTCTCTTCTTGTCCAACTCAGTTTGCCATCAGAATCATGGAAAGAATGGAGTTCATGAACTGAGGTACCACTGTATGTATGTTTAGATAACCTAAGAATTCTAAAAGGACATGACAACAAATGTGTTAAAGTTGTGGAAATGTGACCCTTGCCATTTCTCAGTAGACTTCACATAACAGGAAACAAGAATACATACATAAAATGAAGCCATATCCTTCAGGAGGAATAGGAATGAGAAAGAAAAAGTAAAGAGATGAAACTAGTTAATTTCCCACATCTCTCTGGCTCTGCAACCCTCCTGGACTTATGCTTTCCAAGTAATACGGCTAGAACACAAACTTCAATCAGGATTAGGATATTTCAACTATATGTAGCAATATCCCACAAGCATTTCATGAGGGGAAAAAAAGCTGAGTGGCTCTGATGGATTGCAATTTCATATTGTACTAATAGAAATATGCCACCCAGAATAAAGCAAGAAAAACAGACAAAGTTTAAGGTCATTTAGGGAAAAAAACTCTCTCAAATTGATCTGATAGCATGTCGTGGAAGGACCAGCTGAAATATCTGGGATATTTCAGAATCAGCTTCTGCTAGACTCTGTAGCCTAACCCTCTCCTTATGCTTTCTGTTCTCTCCTCATTTCTCAGTTTTGCAACTATTTCTCTAATATTGTCTATATCCTTCTAGTTCTACTCTTCAAGTTTCAAATTGCAAAAGATCATTTGCTTGGGGTAGACCTGCTGGTATCTTGGACATACCCTGCTCCCACCCCTGGTCATAATTCTTAGTACTTGGGACCTAGTATAATGCCTGGTACCAATGCTTCTTAAATGTCCTTAATCAAAAAAGCTTTTCCTAATTAACCTACATATAATAGCAATGTCCCATCCTTCTGGGACTCTTTATCTTTCCTTAACCTCTCTTCCTTTCTACCTGGCATGTTAAATATGTATTTGGTTTTTTACTATGCCTCCCTTCAGTAGAATGTAGGCTCCTGACACAGACATTCTATCTGTTGTTATTGCTTGTTTTAATGTTGTGTCTACACCTGACAGATCTGGTCTAATACATGGCATTCAAAATATATTAAGTGAATTGGTAACTGAAGTAGGGAAGGTTTGGGGTTTGAGATATGATTTTTTTGTTTTGGTTTTGGTTTTGGTTTTTTGAGACAGGGTCTCACTATGTAGTGGAGACTGACCTGGAACTCACTGTGTGGCCCAGGCTGGTCTCGAACTCACAGTGATCCTCCTGCCTCAGCCTCCTGAGTGCTGGGATTACAGACGTGCACCACCACACCAGGGTTGAGATATGATTTTTCTCTTCAAATATTTGAAAGGTCTTAGAGAAGAGATCAATTTCTTTCTCTTATATACAATGAGTTCCACTAAGGCATGAAATATATTTTATATCATTAGTCCCCAACATCTGGCACATAAGCACATAAAAATATTTCCTGAATAAATAAAACACTGCAAAGTTATCTTACTTGCCTCCAGCTTGAAAGTAAGAAGGATGGCTTAAGCATTATAAGGAAAAATTAAGGTATGAGAAAATACATCTTAAATGTCAACAAATTTAAAATTAAAAGCATACATGCTTATATTTTTTAATTTTACAGATAATATATCTCCAAGTTCTTTTGCTTCAAATATACATTCCTTTTATATCCATATAAACTTTAAATTTAAAATTTCCAACCACTTGCACATGTGTACATCCTTTCTTCAGATAAGAAAGCATGGGGACTAAAATTGATATGGGGCTTAAAATTACAATCCTGAAATTAACTTTGGACACCAGGCATGGTGACGCACAGTTGTAATCCCAGTGTTCTGGAGGCTGAGGCAGGATCATCACGAGTTCAAGGCAAGCCTGGGATACATAGCAAGTTCAAGGACAATCTGAACTAACATAGGGAGACTTTATCTTAAAAACAAACAAAAAAATAACTGTGCAGATTATCCACGTGTGCAGCAACTCATTCAAGGACATGTAGCAAATTAGTTACAAGGACAAGACTAGATCCCAGGTCTCCCAGTTCTTGTGTAATTGTATATTTCTATAAATCTTAAGTCATCTCAGAACACTAAAGATTAGGAACAAGATGGGTGACAAACCTGTATCAAGAGTACCCAGCTCCTCACATGACAGCTTGAAGAACAGATTCTGATTTGTGTCACATCCTATGCTTTGTAACTATTTCACTCTAATGGCTTTACTGTCTAATAAGTCTTATTTACTCTGACTAAACTTTCAATTTAGCCCTCTGTGGCTCGCAACAAAAGCCACTTGACCCTCCATCCAAAAGAAACATTTGACAATGTCTAGAGATATTTTTGATTGTCACAGCTAGAAAAAAGGGAGGGTTGCTATTGGCTTCTTATAGGTAGAGACTAAGGATGCTACTACATGTTCCACAATTGCAGCTTCTAAATTTATAAATGAGAAAATAGGGGCTCTCTGCAACTGACCAGTCTGAAGAAAACATCGTGAACCTAAATCAAGATTGAATTTACATAAAGGAAATGACATACAGGATGTACATAAAGGGAAATACATACTAATGTTCAAGGGTATGCATTCATCAATGTTTTTTAAGTCAAATGATAAATGTGTTAGCTTTTTTTGCACTGTGAAAATACCTGAGAAAATCAATTTTCAGGAAGAAACTTTATTCTGGCTTACAGTTTCAAATGTTTCGGTCTGTGGTTACATGACTCCATTGTTTCTGGGCTGTGGTGAAGCAGAATACCTCCGCAGAAGGGCATGGTAGGACACAGCTGCTCACCTTATAGCAGCCAGGAAGCAGAAAAAGTGAGAGAGCCAGAGAATATGGGGCCAAAAGCTAGATACAGCCCTCCATCATGACTCCATGACACATTTCCTTCAGCTAAGTTCCACTACCTCACAATCCCACGAAAGTATGATCTTTTCTTTTTTCTTTTTTTTTTTTTTTATTGAGTTTATTGGTACATTTAGGGATTCAGTACAGTTACATTCATTGTTGGGATCATGTACCTTTACATGGCAAGTCTTGATTCTCATTTTTTTCCCCTCACCTCTGCCCTCCCTTCACCCCCTCTCCCCCTCCCCATCTACAAACACTTTATTTTCATCTTTTCATTCTCTCACATTTTTTTCTTTTCCCTTTTTGTTCTTCCCCTACGTATCACACCTTCCCTACACCTTTAGCTCCTTTCCTCCCATTTCTAAATGTCAGTAATCTTATTAGAATCTTATGCATT